GCTACGTCTCACGAAAGGGTTTTTTCTTTTTCCCTCTTTTTTATTTTAGTACATAAAAATTCCCGCACTGTATCGCGTTACTTAACATCACGTAAAAACAAACTGCGCATGTCCCAGGTTCAACAATATTATATTTCTCGATATGGTATTCGTCAACTGGCGGAAGGACCGATTCGAGAGCGCGATCGAATCTAAACTACCGTGGGAAAACGACCGTATGTTGCAGTCACGTAACGAAGCAACAAAAAAGAGAGAAAGAGAGAGGAGAGAATTATCTCGATTTTATCGCGAGCGTTATCTCGAAGCGTTAATTCAGGCACAGCTGATGGAATCGCGTGCGATATTGCGACGGGAAATTACAAAAATACCGACGTCAATGATAAGCGAATAAAATCGCGCGTAGGATTTCGCGATTTATCGACACCGTTGGATAATATCACCGCCGAATTTTTCTCCCGGCCGTGTCACGTATCAGCCCATTGACGTCATTGTTTAAATTAATTATTAACACGGATGTGCGTACGAGCGCACTTCCACATGGAGATATGCGAAATCCGGCTCGGCAATGCAGATGTATCTCGGTAGCCAGATAATTATTCCTATCTCACACGACGGAATGATGGGTCATCGTTGATGAGCTACTACTCGGTCATGGTTATATGGCTCATATGTATGTATCTAATAAGAGGTGGGATTGCATACAATATCCGTTTGCGAAATAAACCTGCAACGTAGTATCGCGTTCCAATTTTTAACGTGAAACATCTCGGAAACAGAATCGAGTTCGGAACGGGAGTATAAAATAAACCCTTGTTGATCCACGAAGAGAATGCATACACTGGAAAAAGAGTCGGGTTGGATTAATTGGAATTCTGGTTAAAAATTGACAAATCAGAATTTTCTTGATTGAATCTATTATAATTCTAGTTGAGATAACTACAATTCTGATTGATACGATCAAAATCTTCTGGTTCGTTCATTTTTCAACTAGAAAATTTTCTCAGTGTAAAAGCAATACGTTCACGGGTGAAAATACCCTCGGTTCTTCTGTATACTTAACTATATAAATTTTAATGTAAGTAATATTAAGTAAAAATCAACTGAGAAATATTCAACACAAATGAGCCATATTCTTATCTTAGTGCTTAATAATATTTATGTGAATAATTGTACGAATTTTATAATTTTCAGTTCAAGCAAATGTCGATTATTGATGAAAACAGTACATTTACAGATGGAAATATTCTCGATTCAGTATAATTACAGCGGAAAAAGAAACTGCATTAATTGGAATTCTGGTTGAAAATGGATAATTAAAATTTTCTGATTTAATCTATTATGATTCTAGTTCAGATAACCAAAATTTTAATTAATGTAATCAGAATCTTCTGGTTTATTTATTTTCAGCAAGAAATATTTCTCAGTGTAATAATATAAATATTAATTTAGGTAACATTAAGTAAAAATTCACCGACAAGTGTTGAACAAAAATGAGGTTCAATTTAGGACTGTGTTTCAAGATCGATAAATAATCGGCGCATAATTTACTTAAAAATTACAAACTTTAACAAAAAATATTATTAGACACCAAATTCCGCTTCGATCAAATGTGATCTTCTTCATTCATTTGTGTTAATATAGATTTCTGTTGTATAAATTTAGATACTGTGTTAGGTAGTTGTGCAGAGAAATGTGACACTGAAACTTGTTGCAATATAACAAACCCAGGGACGATATCCAAAATATTCAGCAATCGATATATTCAATTTAAAACTTAATTAGCATGTTATTAATATAATATTACGTGGTTAATAATGTAATGTAATATGTTACCGCCCGCTCTACGATAATATAAATTAATGTGTAAATAATTAAGAAAGGCATGTATGTGAATGCAGATATGAGTGAATATATGAAGAATGTCAAATTTCCTCTTTCCAATCTCTAAATAAACTATTAATTATATTATTAAATGCGATTAATTATAATAATTTGTACAAATTTGTGTAATATAAATTAAATAACTATTTTTAAATATGCAATATAATATAATATTATCAATATAATAAACATCGCGTAAAATGATTAGAGATATTTTAACATTCTAACAAGCGACATCATATAAACTAAATACTAATAAAACCCCTAATATAAAAAATTCTTTAAGAATTATATCCCCCCTATATGTGTACAATATTATAAAATCTGTAAGCATAAATTATTCTGATTGACCCTGTAACATTTCGTATGTCCTTTACGAATGATCAGCGCGCAGAACTGGAGAGTGCAAAACGTCGAGAGGAAAAAAAAACTAGCGAATTACAACAGACGCGAATTCAGTGCTCACGCGTTTACTCGTTCATCCGTTAAAAATGAACTGGGATTCCATCTACAAGGGTTACATTCCACGAGCCACCTAATTCTCGTTGGACCAATTCGAGTTGGCCCTTCGCATGCACGCGCGCGCGCGAATAACCCGGTAATTGGGGCCTGCGATCAGCGACGCGCGGGAATCCAGGTCGAAAAGGGTTGAGAGTGTGGAACGGCGAGATGGTCCTCGCACTCGCAAACTTTGTCGTCCGTGGCGCGTATATATGGCTACACGTTGCTGGCCATCCTCCTGCGCGGCCGCGCTCGACGGAATTTATAGGGTCGGCTTGGCCTGGCGCAAGATTCGACCCGCTCAACCTATTTCATAACGTGCGGGAGAATGACGTCGAGGACGCCGGCGACGAAAGAAAGGATCTGGGAAATGCAGAGAGATAGAAAGAAAAAAAAGGAGAGGGGGAGAGAGAGAGAGAGAGAGAAGGGACGAATTAGCAAACAAAAGGAAAAGAATAGGCTCGACTTGAGCCTGCTTGTACGCTCCCGGCTGCCGGCTGCAATTAGCGCCTCTTTAGTTAGCCGTCCTGGACGATTCTTCTCGCCTCTCCGGATGCCAAGAACTGGTCGTGCCACGCTCTCAATCCTCTCCCGTCCTCGCCGCCGCTGTATTCTTTCGGACTTTCCTCCTTTCGGCCGGAATTTCGTCACTTTCTTCCGCGTGTCGTCGTAAAACGCTTTGTGCCCACTCTCGGGAACGCTAACGACCAGAGGGTGTCAACCATTTAATTTAGCATGACGCCATTCAGCGTCATCGTGGTCGACAAACTTCGTTTTGATAGCCTGCGGGAGATGTAATTTGGACGATTGAATCGGCTTGAAGCACAGATGTACGCGACGAGAGGATATCCTAAAGCCGATATTGGCCCTCACCGGGAAACTTTACTATCGCAACGCTTCTAAAAGAGTGAGAGAGGTGGAAGAGAAGAGAAAGAAACGTGAAAATGCTTCACATTGGCAATGATTGTATTTAGAGGTAAATTTTATACAGCGTATTAACTGTCTTTTATCAATTCTTCCAAGATTGACAATAAGCAACATAAAATATTAAAACACGGAAAGGAACCGATATCGTTGTATTAACAGCATTAGTTAGCAGTCTAATTTAAAATCTTGTTAATTTAATTGACATTACCCATTAATAAAATATTTTGTTAAAGAACACGGCACATTTGTTTTATTAAATTAACAATATTATCTTCTCACAATCAGTCTTTAGACACAATAGGGAGTTTTTGCAATATCGTTTATCTAGATACGGTGAACGCTAAGGTCGGGTTATCTTCTTCTTAACAACTAATTAAGAAATGGATAACATGACTAGCGTTCGCCGTATCTGAATTCACGTTATTGCAAAAACTTCCTAATATCTTAAACCAAAATGGGGTAACAATATCATAAATTAAATTGCAATTTAATAATATTTATGATGATAAGCATTCTAAAAAGTTGTAAATAATTTGATACTAATAAGCATCTTAAAAACTGTAAATAATTTATTATGAAAATATTACTTCTGCCAAGATTCAAACTTCCTTATATTTCATGATGGATGTCTCAATTTGACCTGAGAGCTGTAATGATATTTTTCGCAATAAATTATTATCTACAGTTCTTCAAGATGTTTATTAGTATGAAATTATATACAGATTTTTAAGATGCTTATTAGCATCACTATATTATATTGTTTGGCAATTAAATTTGTGACATTACTACTCCGGTTTAATTTAAGATTGCATTTAAAGGCACCGAAATGTTATTTAAGCATTAAGATTTAGCTCAAGCCGATAAGACCTTTTCATTATTTATTATGTATATATAGGATTTTATGAGACATTATTTAATAAGATTATTTTCAATTAGATCACTGCCGGTTAATGTTTAATACATTATTTTTTCATACATAACTTAACCAGAACGGTTTGTTTTCGATTTACTGAGAAATCAGTACTATGACTACCGCTGCAATTTCCACAAGTATTCATTGTTTATAACATGTGTACAACATAATAATATGTTATTAATATGTCAATAAATTAATATTTTTATAATATACAAATGTAATAAATCATACAAGTATTTATAATAATTAAATTATCTGTATAGGTATCCATAATATGATATCGTTTTATTGAAACTGATATGTAAATATAGTATATATTCTATCAGGGTATTTGATATATATATCAAATTTTAATATAAATTCTATATAACGTAATTATGTTTATTAAATTTTATAATTATATGTTGTATTTACAGCACAAACAATTCTCCGTGCCTCTTTAAAACTGTAATTTATATTTCTTACTCTCGTTTGAAAGATTCCTGAGAAAAATAACGATTCGAACGTATATTCCGCTATTCCAATAAAAATGTTTCGATTACCTATTCGTTCATCCATTAAAAATGAACCGGGATTACAGCTTCGATTGTTTGATAGACATGAGGTAGAGAGACTGCCCAAGGAAAATAAGAATGTCAATTTGACGTCATATTGACCAATTATTGACCGAATTTATGTTATTTGTTTGACACAGTTCGATCAATATGATATTTTGGATTTTTTGTTCTCATTGGGGTAAAAAGACAGACGGAAAGATAAAAATTGCGAGACTTACTTTCGCGGAGGGTCACCATGTAATAGGACGCCTGGCTGGGCTTGCTACGTCCTAAAGCATTTATCGCCGCCACTCGGAAGCTGTACACCGTGAACGGCCTCAGGTTCTCGACAGTGTAGAACGTGTCGTTGTGCGGTGTTATGATCTCCTTCGTCGCGTTCCACGGGCCGTCCTCGTCGATGCTGAAAATAACAAATGCGCCACGTTATGATATTTGCAATTCAACCGTTCGCCACGTGACTGAAAGTCACACGCGATGCTATCGTCGTCACATGAACGCTCACAATGCGGAGAACTTCAAAATCGCTGTGAAAAATCGTATACGAGTTGATCAATCTAATATTCTTGTCAATATTCTCTAGTATACCTTTTTCTCCTCCCTTTTTTACATGATTTGTGAGAAAGTGTCTGAAGACGGAGGTCGTATATCGATATTTTGAAAGGCTCAATATGATAATATGCGTCTATAACCTGCCTCATAAAGTTACACGAAACTCTCCTATAAATTGCGTTAAGAAAATGTTTCAGGAGATGATTGGTTAGAGAATTTTACTTTTTCTCTCTCTCTCTCTCTCTCTCTCTCTCTCTTTACAATGTGAAGAAGAGAAAATTTTTGTGAAAGATATTCAAATTGCAAATGCGCAATTCTTGAGACACAACGTCGCTTTTAGAATGCAATCCTGTATTAATGGTATGTTGAAAAAAGTATAGAAAAAAAGTAATCTTAAAATTGGCGATTAACAGATACTGGTATGTCAGAATTTATTGACACATTGTGACTGCTTTGGGGATACTGTGAGTTCTTTACAAACAAATGAAGCTGACAAATAAATGAACTGAGAAAATCCAGACACGATAAATGACTTCCAAGAATACTTTCAAAATTCACACGATAGGGTCGATCAGGAATTTTCCGCGTCATGTAAAAGCCTGAAAAGCTAAGCGATTAGATAGCGAATTTCGTATCGCAGTTTCGGCGTTTTTCGTGCTTTGCCTGAGGTGAATACGGAGTGGCCGCAATGCTGATATGGCGCGACTTTTTACTATAATTTAAGTATCTCGACAACATTAAGTTCATGAAATTTTAACATCGTCGACATTATTTTCTCAACTCATTTTCTCATCAGAATTTTAAAAAACGCGAGCATGTTTGCATATATGATAAGACTAAAGATATGTATTCAAGAAGCTATACAATAATTTTATCTGTATTATAAAACAATCTTCATCAAAAATATAATATGATGTAAGACACAGATAGGTATATTATTTCTAATATACATATAACAATTGAATAAATATATACTTAGAGATTATTGAAGCCTTGAAATCATCTAAGAAACATTTTAAACACGTTTTTAAAATATCTAAAATCCCTATTTATGACGACTTTTTGAAACATTTAAGGTATTTTTAAGACTTTTTATTCGGAATTTTGTGTGCAATTTTGGTAATACTAAATAAAAAAAAGAGAGGAATTAAAAATTGATAAATAGGTAGTCAATAATTTTCTATCTATAGGTATTTTTATTATCAATATCTATACATTTACTATGATTATGAATTTAATAGCGACAATTTGATGTGCATCTATGTATTTCAATATCTATTCGTCGAATATTTTATTTTTTAGAAATTTATACGATTGATTCATAATTTAATATTAATTTACGATTTATCATAATTAGTTTATAATTAGCAGATAATATTCATTTTATGATTTATCATTATCCAATATTAATAATTTCAAAAATATATATTCATATGTATCTATAATGCATTATATTTACCACACGATATAATATTTGATTTTTATTTAACCCGAACATGCTATTGATAATGAATGACACGGTATTGCTATTAATACGTAAATTTTGTCTACAAAATATAGGCCAATCTTAATTAATGTAATACAAGTTTTTCATACATTTCATATTTTTAATAACATTTATAATCTAAATTTATGTAAACACAAATAACCTTAATTATTAATTTAAAAGGAGGGAAAGAATAAGTACATTAGTCAAATTTAATTTTGATATGTAGTTCGATTGTTTGTTCTTATATACTTAAACGAAATATATAATAAATAAGATGTGCAGAGTGTAATTGAAATAACGCCCATTAATCATATAGTACTATTCCTAATAAAAAACTGAGACGAAAAGTCCTCTACCATTTTGAAATTTTCGTAATATTTTTTTTTAGCTACTCAATGAGCAGAATGTCTAAAATCTCGACGTAGACAGCTTTAAGATATCTTTAAGAGTATTTTAACAAAAATCTTTGAAATATTTCACAAAGAACACGGAAAGATATCTTAAAATTGTTCTATACATCGATTTTATCGATGTATACATCTGTTTATTTGGCAATATTTAGAAATTAATATCTCCTTAACTATTGCCAAATGGTAGAGGATTTTTCGACTTAGTTTTGTATTAGAAATAACACTTAGTAAATTAGTAGGCGTTACATTTCAGTTACATCTTGTATAATAAATAATATGTATGTATAATAAATATAATACATATATATTAGGTGTTGAACTTAATTCCTGCCACTCGCTTAATTTAAAACAATATTCCACACCTTTAAAAAATCTAAAAAAGAATTTTTGTAATGTAATATGCTAAAAAGTTTGACACACTTTTTAGCATATTACATTAAAAAAATTTTTTTTAGATTTTTTAGAGGTGTGGAACATTGTGTTAAATTAAGCGAGCGGCAGGAATTAAGTTCAACACCTAATATAATAAATTTGGATAATACAAAATTGCTTGCAAATTGAATCATTACTTATCACGTTCTCTGTATACTTATAATGATCATCAAAGGGTCAGTATTATAATAAATTGATATCATTTAACGAAAGAATTTTTAAAAGCTTTTCTTCGCTTGTCCTACCTTTTAAAATTTAATAACATGGCAAATTGGATCCCTCTAATTGAACCACTGAAGGCACAGCTTAGCGCTCAATGCTTGTGAACGTAAAATTTACGTATCAATAATGTTCAAGAGTTAAAGCTGCCCGAAAGTATATAATATCTCAGTACCTAACACTTTAATTGCCATGTTATTAATTTTCACAAACGCCTCATCATCCATTTATGAATGATGGTTTTAATTACCCGATTAAAAATAATTTTACTAAATATTTAAAATATTGAGGAAATAATGTAAATTATATTAATCAGTATATTAAACAATATGATATTATTATAATATTAATTGTTGCAAAAATGAGTATTATTAAATACAAAGACCCGCTTGATCCAAAAATAAGATTGTTTCTCTTAATTGATAAAATTATTTCAAATCATTACATTATTTAAAAATTAGGAAAATACCCTGGAGTCATCAGAACCCATAAAACGTTTCAGTTACGGGTAAGGTAGGTGGGGACAAGTACGCGCATTTATTGCGTCGTAGCAGTCTCAAACAATCTATGGCTGAAATTTCGTTTCATCGAGCACGCTTCGCAAGTTCCGCGATGTCGCGATATCGATCGCAGTTCGTTCTGAATCAATCAATCGCGAGTGATATCGTTGCGGTGCTTCGAAAAAGGTATCTATCTCAATTCGCGCGATCAGCATCGACGATAGTTCGTCGGATCAACGTCAGTTGGCAGCGGCCCGTCGATATAGCGAGTAACCGGGAGTGCCGAATAAATCTGTTTTGGTGTATCAATTAATTAGCGATTGTGATCGAATGGCACCTCTGTGATCTGTAATCTATACTATATCTCGCCGGATCATCGGAATTATCCCTCAGGATAATTCCGATACAACGCGTCGCGGCTGCGTCGAAGAACGCATAGAATCGCCATGTTCGGTCATGTTGGTAAGGAGAAGGTTCTCTATCACTGCTTCTTCACGGCATTTGGTGAGTAATTGGTTAGCTTCTTGGAGTTTTTTGTTTCATGTCGCAAAATCGTATATTGTAGGAATATAATTTGTCGATTAGGAATTCTGCGATTGATGAACGCTCCTAATCGACACATTATGAAAAAACCGTAATCAACACCGATAATCCGCCAGATCGACGCCTGTCGCTTGCGAGTAGTCGAGAGAGAGAGAGAGAGAGAGAGAGAATGTCGAATAAATTTAACAATCATGTGGTGTGATTATAATCGAATAGTGTTTCTGTGACGATTGTGATAGATATTCAATTGAATTGTCGACCTTTGAGTTAATTTTTTTGTCAATATATCGCATTGCGGCTGTTGTGAAGTGTTGTCGCATCATCATGTTGGAGAAGGTTCGCAATTGTTGCTTCCTCACGACAAGTATTGATTTTATTTATTGATCTAATTGTGAGCTACATTCAGTTTCCCACCCGAATGAGTGTTCTCTATGTATATAATGTATATGTCATTGGCTGCGGTCAGCAGAAAATGTAGCTTTGAACAACTATTTATTCTTTAATATGATTAATTATACATGTAGATCCATACTGTTAAATTCATGTCAAATCGAGTGTCAAATTATGAAATTATATCTAATTGGAGTTATGTTCAATTGTTTATATCCAGCTCAATAGGTGTTGTTTTTATAGATCACTCCCAATATGTCGTTAATTCAACTAGAATAATGAAGTTAACGTTTAAAACTAAAAAAATTGACTCAGATTTAGTTTATTACTTTCTAATTACATACGTTAATATGGATGATCTTTACTTTGAAACTAACTACAGAAATAGATTGATTTACATTTTGAAATGGAAGTTAAAAATAACAAAATGATATTTAATTCAAGAGATTACCATTGCTCCTTTGATATCTAACGGTACAACAAGAAACTAATATTAATGATAACAATAATAATAACGATAATAAGAATAATTTTATTGAGTACACGGTTAACATTGAAAAGCAGAAGCAGATACACAATAATATTTAATATTAAAGTACCAGTTACACACGCAATAGACAGGGCGACAGCTAAATTGCTGATTCGAAGCTATGTACATATGTATACATAAATCACAAAGTAAGGGCAAGAAGCAATCATATTAAAAAATTTTTCAACACAGTTGCAAAGCTGCTTTTCCTATTGAACGCAGCCATTTTATCCTTGTTTAATATTTGATGAACAACAAAAATAAAAATGAATACATGCTGTTAAATTCTTAATGTCAAATTGGAGTTATTTTTAATCACTCCTATAAATCATCATTGCT